CTCCTCCTCCTCCTCCTCCTCCTCCTCCTCCTCCTCCTCCATCCTCTATCCCCCCCCCCTCCCTCCCTCCTTCGCGCCTCCCCCGCTCGCGCTAAGGGAGGGGGGGGGCCTTTTGGCGAGGTTCTGCAGGCGCACCCGCGGGATCGTGCCCAGGTCCCTCGCCACGACGTAGTCCGGCGCGGACAGGCTGCCCCGCCAGAAGACCTCGCGGGGGGATGGGGGAGGATCTGGAGGGAGGAGAAACTGAAAGGGAAACCCGAGGAGGTACTAATATCTGGAGCTCGGACGTTCCTGCAAGACGCTCGCTCTGCAGCGCGTCCAGGGGAGCGTACGATGGTCTGCAGGAGTCATTGGAGGGCTGATGGCCAGGTTGATGACTTTTCCTAGAGGCCTACGTCGTGACACTTTGTGGCCTCACCTGGAGTTCGAACCTGGCGGAAGGGGGAGGAGGGAGGAGGGGAGGACCCGAGACCCCAACGCCTCCGCCGAATAAGAGGGGAAGTCGCCAATTCAAACCTAGGAGGCGCAACTAACCTCTTAGCGTCACCGTTGAGGGTGATCCCGGTTCGCGGGTGGCACGGGGACCCAATATGCACCAACGATCCTACCCTCCTGCCCTAGGCCTTCTCGGATGGCGAAGAACCGTTGCGCCTGCCACTCAGGCGAAGACCGGTTTTCTGAACGAAGCCCAGAGAAGTGTGCAGCGATGGCCCGATCTTGAAGAGGATCTGCCCTCCATCTGCATACAAGTGACACAATCGCAAACTTCAGGCCGTAATATTCACGGAAACTCGAGGGACAACCCCACTTTCAACATGATACGTCCACCATCCGTGCACCTGAAAGCACGATTAGGCATTTCGAGGCATAACAGCTACAGACAAACCTATCTCCATCCTTGTAGGTAGCTGTTGGTATGTCAAAGAACGAATGCGCGGCGCTAAAACACCGCAGTTGGGAAACCACCGGCCCTCAATCCCTGAGGCTGCTGGGGGCTTCTGCAACACGAATGTGCGCCGCGCTGCGGCGAGAGCTCGCTAGGGCTCCCTCTTGGTGGCGATCGTTCCCCCGATCTCCTGCCGACGGGCAATGCTGGCCGGCCCCGGCGGAGCACCGGCGCCAAACGCCGCGCGGTGCGGTTTTGACGTAGAGGAGTGCGGTTCGCGCGCCCCCTCCAGATCGGAGCTGCGCTGTGCCCTCTCCGCGTGCCGGATGGGCATGGCCACGCTCTACTCCCTAGACGTGCGACGTCCTGATTTTTTCAGGACGGCATCCCTGGAAAACACGACCCCTTCCCCGGGACCGGTTTTTCGTCCTGAGTTGTTTTTGACGGGCCCGAGGCCCGGCGAGGGCCCCCCGGGCCCGAAAACAGCCCACCTACCTCCCTGATTATTTTACGACGCGATCGTGTCTGGGAATGGGCATGGCCCCGCTCAGCCTTCAGGCCGAAGCGAACGCCCTTGGGTCATGGCCCTGTCTCGCCTATGAAGGCAACCGAGTTCCTCGGAGAGAATTAGAACAAGACGCTAGATAATACCGCATGCACTGGGACGACGGATGGCCGCGCGCGTCGTTTCTTGCACCCCGCCTCAAAGCCCACGGGCGGCCTCCTCTCCTGCTCCTCCGCGGGGGTGAGGGCAAGAGCGAGACGAACGGGGGGAGGACCAAGACGGGCCGAAGGACCACCCCCAAACCCAGCGGGGCTTCCGCTCAAAAGGAAGGCGCGCCGACTTCGGGGATTATAACGCACATGGCGGTGCGTGCCGCCGCCGCGGCGGCCTCTTGCGAGACACCTCTGCCTCATGCGGAACGGCGCAGGAAGGCGCGCCAGATGCGCAGAGTGCAGACACTCGGGTCGGGCGCAAGAGGGGGATAGCAAAGGGGGGGTTGAGAATCAGCTCATGTAGCTGATTTTCCCGGCGCCTCCCGGCGCCGGAGGCGGCTATGTATCGAGGAATGGGCCCCTCGGTGGGGCCGAAACCAGCTGCATGCAGCAAATTTCGTAAACCCCCCTTTCCCAATCCCTCCCCGTTCGTCCGGCCCGAGACACAGCGTGAGCGGGTGCCGAGGCCCCGCCTGCGGCCCCGTTCTCCGGCGCGACAGGGCGTGCACGAGCAGGCAGAGGGGCGCGGAGGCCGGAGCCCTCCCGCTGCACGCGGGAGCGGCCCTGAGCAGGGGCACCCTCTGGTGCGCGGCTTGCCGATCGCTTGAGTCAGCGCGACTGTAGCAGCTGGTGCGCTTGGGCTTGCCCCGCCCCCCCCTTCCTTCCCCCGCGCCCCACGAAGGCCGCTCACGAAAGGCCACTCGGGCGAGCGGCCACTCGCACGCGAAGGCTCCCGAAACCTCGAACTCCCAAATGCTGTCTTCTCTCGAGTGGGGGCAGCATTTGTTTCGCCTGCTGCCGCCGGCCGACCCGCCGCAGTTCCCCTTCCGCCGGCTTCCGCCGCCCTTCCGCCAAGGAAGATATTCCAACCCCTTCGACCCTCTCAGGCAAGAGCCTTTCTGGAGCGCGCCGCGTGTAGCTGGAGGCTTGCGCTCGACCCCACCCAGAGCAGAAGGAGCGGAAGTGGCGCGCGAGTGGAAGACCCGCCGAATCGTAATTAACAAACGCACGCCCCGGCCAGCCAGGCGTGCCCAGCCCCGAAGGGAACCGTTCGGCGTGCACGGCCGCCCGCGCACGTCGGCGCACGACGCCTCCAGATGCAGCCTCCTCCGCCGCGGGGGTGCCCGCATGCCACGACGTGCCGCGGTCTTCCTCCGCTGGTCGCCACCCGCGGCGCTCGGCGCCGGGCCGAAGGCGAGGACGAGGAGGCAACGCGAACGCGGGCCAGTCGCACAGCAGCCGCGCATGCGCTGCCGAGCAGCTGCCCTCCCACTGGCTGCGGGCGCCCCCGGGCCAAGGCTTCCGTCCGCAGAAGGCAGCGGTGCACCAACATGACTAGCCAGGGCCACCGTGGGCCCCAGGATGGTGCACAGGCCCTCCCAGTCGAGGCCGGGAGACTGCGTGCGCCAGGCCAAAGCCCAGGACAGCCCTGGCCAGGGACGGCGGCGGTGTAGAGTTGCCGTCGTTTCCACATGTCTTCGTGGGGCAAGCCAACCGCGTGGGGCATGCGCCTCGCCAAGGGCGTGGCTGCACCCCAGGGGATGAAGAAGGAGGAGGAAACGGATGCTGAATATAATGATGATACTGCTGATACTGATGATGATGATGATGATGATGATGATGACGATAATGGTGATGATGATGATGATGATGCTGGTGGTGGTGATGACGATTATGATGATGCTGATGGTGGTGATAATGCATCTAATGATGATGCTGGTGATGCTGATGGTGACGATGATGATGGTGATGATGATTATGATGATGCTGATGGTGGTGATGATGATGATGGTGATTATGATGACGATTCCGCTGATGATGCGGATGGTGATGGTGATGGTGGTGATGATGATGTTGATGATGATGGTGGTTCGGATGTTGGAGATGCTGATGATTCTGATGGTGGTGATTGTGGTGATGACGGCCATGATTATGATGACGATGATGATCAGACGAGGAGGAGGAGGAGGAGGAGGAGGAGGAGGAGGAGGAGGAGGAGGAAGAGAAGGGGGAGGAGGACGAGGAGAAGGGGGAGGGGGAGTAGGAGGGAGGAAGGAGGAGAGAGAAAGAGAGAGAGAGAGAGAGAGAGAGAAAGTAAGAGAGAGAGAGAGAGAGGGAACGAAAGAGAAAGCGCGCGGCAGAGGGCGGAAGGGTCTCTCCGCCCTGCGTGCAGCCGCAGCCGCGCCCAGGACGCCCCAATCGCGATGACAAATGAGGACGAACCTTCGGACCGTGACGGCCAACGCGCCGTCGGGCACCATGGACACGAATGGATACCCCATCTCGAAGCGCTGGGCGCATCTGCTCCAAAGTGCCGACCGCGGCGTGCATCTCGACCAGGCCGAGCGACGGCATCCGCACAATGGGCAGGCCAAGGCGTTCAGCCGGGCCCGCCGCGCGCCAGCGGAGCTCCACCACCTCGGAGCCCGCGCCCTCAACCTTGTCATTGCCTGCGCCACCCTTGGTCTTGCTCTTATCCATGTCCTTACCAAAGCCCGTGTCGCCCGCGGGGCGGCCGCGCCGCCGCACTAGCGGCAACTCGTCCGCAATGTCGTCGGGCTCCATCGGCTCGGCGGCAACGATGACCCCCACGCCCACCGCCGCCCCAGCCGCCCCACCACCTCCACGACTCCCTGCATCTTGTCCTCCGCGTCCACCCTTCCGCCGCCGCAGGCGGAACCACGTCCTCCGCCACGGCGGGACAGGCAGGCTGCATGCCGGCATCAGCGATCGCCGAACGGATGGGCCCCTCCGCCGCCCGCAGGAGGCCCACCGACCCGCGCTGCCCTCTTGCGGCGGCCAAGCCCGCTGCCGCGTGGACTGCCATCACGGCCCCTCGCGAGGCCTCCAGCGGCGCAGCGGCTCGGTCGCTCTCCGTCGTACCCGGCATCGGAGCGGCGGAGGCCGGCCGGGGAGCGCACGACCTGAGCCAAGACAGCATTGGAGGAGGAGGAAGAGGAGGAGGAGGACGAGGAGGAGGAGGACGAGGACAAGGACTAGGAGGGGGTGAGGGCAGGGGGAAAGGGGGTGAGGAAATGGCGGGTTGTGATGATGATGGGTAATTGCGCTGAGGATGGTGGAGGGAGGGCGGGAGGGTGGAGAGGGAAGGCAGAGGAAGACGACGGCGAGGAAAAAGGGGAGTAAGGGGAGAAAGTGATGGAGGGACGAGGAGAAGGATGAGGGGTAGGAGGTGAGAGGAGGAGGGAAGAGGGGGAGGATGAGGGGGAGCAGGACGGATGATGAGTAAGAGAAGGGCTACGTATGCCGGGAGTGAGAGGAGGAAGAGGGGGACCCGGATATCTCCATGACAGACGCCACTCCGCGGTGCACACATGGCCAAATGGCCGAGAACATGGCGGCGTGACTCTGTCCTTGCAACATAAACTTCTGCATCGGGTAAGATAAAAAGGCCTTGTCGCGAGAGCCTCGCTGCCCCGCCTGCAGCCCCACTCTCGCAACCTCTCTCTCTGTGCTGCGAGGGCTGTGCTGGCATGGTTCACATCCAAAACGGCTTCCAGCCGCAAGCTCGACAAACGAGCACCAGGGTCAGGGGCGAGAGCAACCGACGGGCATCGAGCAAACGGGGTCAACACGTGCACCC